CCCCAAAACCCCAAAACCCCAAAACCCCATCATGTAATATGAAAATTATCCAGCTAAGTAATGAAATTAAGGTATAATATGATAGTTAATAGTAATAGAATAGAATGAAATCATTTAATAGCCTGCATCATTCTTAAATCCATATAGGACATTCCTACTGATATTTTCTCGTTTTCTGAAATTATTGGTTCATTTTAATCTGTATGTTCATCTATTTCATCAAGGTCAGTTTAGAACATTTAAGTCGTCTAATGATCTGAAACAAAACTTATCTTATCACTTTTCTCGTGAAGCATGGCATCAAGTCCAATAATTTCATAAATTGCTGGGACTCTTAATCTTTTTAATTTATTTATGATGTAGAAGTAAGGTATTGAACAAGCGGATGTCCAGGCAATTAGGGCAAGACAACCAATAAACTGAACTAATAACTACTTAAAAGATTTAGTATATATCACACCTAGGTCGTTATCAAATATCCCCACAGTTAATACCCCTAGAAAACCACAAAAAGCATGTATTTATGAAGCATCAAGAGGATCATCTACTTTTATTTTGACCATGAACCAGCAGCTTAAGATGTACCAAAAGCCACTTAGAATTCCAATACATATAGATGAATATACCTCAACATTGTTACAACTTGCTGTAATTGTTACATGGCCTGCTAACATTCCATTAATAATATTAGCTGGATTAAAATTACTAACGGGACTTACTTTCCTCATGAAATATGGCTTAAATATAAATACCTATGGAAACTATTAAGAAATTCATAAATATTTACAATTAATCCCGAGAAAGTTCCACAAATTAGTGTATTCATGACAATTTTTTAAGGCAAATTTTTTTCGGATAATTCGGTTATGGTATACCCTGAAGAGCCATTAAAAAAGAACCAGGAAATCCAGAGTATTAAAGAGCCAATTACTATATTTGTCATCGAGCTGTATTGAAACTTTTTATTTAAATTCTGGTCATAAATGAGTATCATATTTTCTACAATTGAATCACTCATTTTCTCGAATTCTTTAAGTTCATTCTTGAATATTCTGATTCTTGCTTGCATTGGTAGCTCTGAGGAAGTTGAAAATGTAAATTCTATCTCTTGTTCATCTATTTTCTTGCCATTCATAGGTTTAACTTAAGAAATTTTCCTGTCACTTAAGAGATTTTTATCGAGATGGCTTACACCAAAGAATCCTATTCTGGGTCCAAGAATAAAGGTTCCCCAAAAGCCAGCTGTACCACCAATAAGATGCACAATACCACTTCCAGCAAAGTCTAGATAGCCTAGATTTTGCAACCATCCACCACCCCAAGCCCATCCAGCACTTATTGGATATATGAATCCTGTCATAATCATTGTGTATATTACATAAGTATCCATGTATGTCCTCTCAGCAAGACTTCCACTGACAAGTGTAGTGCAACTTGCACAGAAACTGAATGAAAACAACCACTTCTTATAGTCTGAGTTATTGAAGTTTGACCCCATGAACTTGCCACTACCAATGATCCCCCCTGCCTGTTCACTCATCAACCCATAACCAGAGACATAAAATATCAATGCTCCTGTCATTGTATCAATTACATTTTTCACTAGGACATTAGCTGCGTTTTTATCACGAACTGAACCTGATTCAAGTAGTGCGAAACCTATTTGCATTTGTAAGATCATTATGGCTGAAATCAAAATCCTATTGTTATTAATTTAAATGCATTATGCAGATAAATTACCAAGTTGTGTTTATTGAGTCATCAATTTCACAAAATAAACTATCAATCTGAGTTTTATTGTAGTAATTATCAAATCTAAAATTCTAAGTCATTTTTGAATAATTATAATTATAATAATTTCGCTTAAACATACAAGTTACAATTTTTCATTTCTTTTGCACTTTTTTATGATATTCTTGATACGGGGTTTTGGGGTTTTGGGGTTTTGGGGAGATCG